ACATGAAATATTATCTGGCTCTTGAAGAAATTTAGATATTAGGATGTTGCTTTAATTTGGATATTTTTTAGTGGAAATATGAACAATGGAATTGTTAAAAAGCAGCTTATCGTAAATGGAAGAACAATGGAAGCCTAAACTTATTTGTAATAACGCATGATGTAGCCATGAAAGGGGAGGTAATAAAGTCTCCTAATTCTTAGAGCTCCTTGCTATAGCTAATAGACGGATAAACTACTTGCTCTACTGCTGCTGGTGCCGCGTGTCGCTTCAATTGGGCACATCCGTCCCGAGGCTGAAAATTGTCTGCCGAAAAGTGGTTGGAATAAACAAATAACACCTTTGTGAAGTTACCATGCACGTGGCCATCCCGAAATATGCAGCTAATCGTACTAAATAATGATGAAAATAATTGCATAAACAAACAGATTCTCTATTTGCAGTACACAATGTAATACAAGTATTTTGCTAGTATTCCGTTTTATATTTAATTTTAGAAATAAATCACTAAAAGCTCGCTACAAAATGATGCTCAAAATATATTTTCTTATAATTTTTAATTATTTTTTGACATATTTTTTTTTGAAGTAAAAACCCAAGGTGTATTAAACAAGGTGGTGTTGGGGCGACAGCTGAGTTTTTCGCCGTGGAGGCCATTACGTCAAAATGATGTGTTTGTTGTAACTCATACCAATGACAGTATGGACATCAGCGTATAATTTGTTAGTGTAATTTTTTACTTATATACGGCCAACACCACCTTGTTAAATACGCCTTGTAAAAACCACTTTTTTAATTTCTTCAGAATATGGTAGCTTCAATTTAAAAGAAAATGTCAAAAGCACAGTTTACGTGCAATGCCGAATAAGAAGAAGTGAAACTACCTTTAAATATTTGTATCATGGTACATACCAAGGCATATTAAACAAGGTAGAAGTGATTTTGACATTTCTCTCTTTTGAACACCGACTATAATGTCAAATGATGAATAACTTTTAACCCTTTTCAAGCTGACATTTTCTATTTTTCATTAAAATTCAATTGAGTGCCGTGAGATAGTTGTGAATTGTGTGAAATTTTTTGTTTTTCGACCACATGAATTTATAGGTACATACATATACAAAAATGAAAAGGAGCAGGAACTACCAGCGTTGTATTGTGTGTGGCAAGAGCCAATATGTTAAAGTGGTGCGATACTTTAAGGCGCCTAGTTGCGAAGTTAGAAGACTTCGTTGGGAGAATAGCTGCGGTTCTGTGGAAATCATTTCAATGCGAGTGATTTTCTTACTTGCGCATGCGTTTATACCCAGGTTCAGTTCCCATGCCCTGGGAGGTTCCTGTGCCTGAAATGCCTGAAGCAAACGAAAGTTCAGAACTGAGTAAGAGTAGTTTCTTAAAAAATTCTGCACACATAACCACGTCAGGACCTAGGTTTACACTGATATACATGTCTATGTAGAAGAAAACATTAAATCGTTTTTTATAGGTGCGGATGTTTTTTAGAAGTACATAAATATTTAAATAAAGAAACTAAACGCGCAAAAATATTGGGCGAATAGAAACAAAAAATGTTTGAAACAGTTTCATAAAACATTTCTTTCATTTAATTACGTGGTTTCCTTTATGAGGTATTCTTTTCTGTCCATATGTAGTATATGTGCATATAAGATGCGAATGCAGCTAAAATTCTTTTAAGGTAATATTGAAGTAATCCTTAAAATTAGTATACGTACATACATATGTATGTATTTATGCTGATGCATTTCCATGGTGAAATTATAAGTAGGTGAAGTAATAAAAAATCTGTCTCGCTTTATTTTCCTGATATTCGGCTATCTTATACAAATTTTTAAAGGCAAATTTTCAAATAAGATAGGGTCAAATCTTTCATCTCGCTCTTATTACTAACCTGGTATAATTTCACCATGATGAGTTTCAATTGATGCTAATTTGTAGCGAACATAGGACTCGCACCTCATAGGGTTAATTTGTTTGCTTACAGTTTTTTGACATTATAACTAGCTACAAGAGAGTTCGAGCTAGTTGTCACTTCTACCTTATTAAATATACCTTGTACCATAGAATAAACAGTATACAGAAGCAGTGCTGCCATTTGAAAATATTTTTAATTACCAAAACACCTACCAAATCAGTTTGCAAACTACCAAAATTTTGTTCATCAATAATGCTAGATTTCGAGAATTTACGAGGTTTTTAACTACACAAATTAACAGTAAAAATTAAAACTACACATATTATTGTTAAAAGGGTCTTTAAATAAAAGAATTGACGCATTGTACAAAAACTTTTTAAAAAAATTTAAATACCTTTGAGATTAATTCCATTTATACCAAACAACTTTTCTTTGTGTGTGAAAAAACAAAATCAGACATTTTATGCATTTCAATAAAAAAAATCCCAAATTCGTTTCAATTTGCATACACTCACACTTTTTTTACCAATGCACTCACACTTTGAAAATTGCCTATCATCAATTTTTCTTTCAAGACGATGGGTAATTTCTGGTTCTATTTCACCAGCCGATCGGTCATAGCTTTGGGAAGTGAGTTTTTGTTTGCAGAAAATTGTCTGCTTAATAAAATATAGAAAAAAAACTAAGAAATCGTATACGTGTGAGCAAAGTGAAAGCAATGTTTTGAACGTGTAAACGTAAATTAAGCGAACAAATTTTAATGCTCAATTTGGTTTTTTTTTTTTCAAAAAATGTTTGCCTACCAAAAGGTTCATCAAACCAATCAAGCTACCAAAGGAGAATGAACCTGCCAATTTTGGTCCAATCGGACCAAAACGGCAACGCTGTAACAGAAGACGCATGTGGACTATCGAAGCAAGTTGAATTTTAGCACGAGCGGTGAGGCAAGCAAGGCTATCACAAGCGGCGCTGCCTCTGTTACTTTAGCAATATTTACACTGGGCTGACGCTGTTAATACCATCGTCGCTATGACGACAATATGTTAAGTAACTCCGTTTTCCATCACGATCAGCGTTGCCGTTTTGATATAGTTTTATCATTTTTGATACTTTTTTTTTCTAAATTGAAAGATTTGATACTTTTTTGTCCACAAATGCCCTATTTTGATACTTCGGATGGCAGAAATAAATTTTTGAAAACTATGAATAATATTACTAGTTTAAAGGAAAATATTTTTTTTGTTTTGCTATTTAAAGCCTCAAAATGTATATATAGATATTTGATTGGTAGCTCTTAAAGGGAAACATAACGCGGAATTTCTTTGCATACGCCGCTGTTATAGGGCCCATAAACCACACAAAAACATTGCACAATATCGGGCTTGCGTCGGTCGTTTGAGTGGTGTATGGGGTTGTTTGTACTAAATTGCACAGTTATTGCGCTAAAATCAAAATTATTTTGATATTTTGCTCATGCTTGCGTATGGCGACAACTGCGAAATTTTTAGTCTAGTTTTGATTTTGGTGTCGTGCTGTAAAATATGGATAAGAGCGTAAAAAAAAAACATTATTTTTATTATTTTTTTTTGCGTTTTAAAGCCGAAGCTATCAAAATATACAACGCACATTCATATTTCTTGCACATATTTACTTGAGCAACGTTTCTCCAAAATAAGGTTTGCGCAATTTTATTCTGTAGTAATTTCCACAATATTGACTTGTACAAGTCTCGGGTTGCGTATTGCTTTTGTGTGGTTAAGGGCCCTATAAGTTTGTTTTTCGTTATGCAAATACAGATTCTCTGTTTTTTTAACGAAAGTAATATATTTTTTTTTTATAACTACGGATTTAATTACAAAATTATATTTGTTATTTGTTTTTTAAATAAAAGTTTAACAAGTAACAGTTTTGTTTGCATTTGATACTTTTTCTGCTTGGCAACTGATACTTTTTTTTCATGCTCGCGGCAACTCTGATCACGATGTGTGTTTGTGGCGAGATGTTAACTTCATGTTATTCATAGTGGTCGTGATGTTCACGCCTCTGCTCTGTTCCGGGTCGCCATGTTATTCATAGTGGACGTGATGTTAACTTCTCTGCTCTGGTCCGGGTTGTAATATTACGTCCGCCGAAGATAAAGAAATTTGTTCGTAGTGCGTCTTCTGTATATTGTTTTTTCTGTGCTTGTACCAAGCTATAACAAGGTAGAAGTGATTTCGACATTTCTCTCTTTTGAACTCCGACTGAAATCTCAACTCTTAACCCTATACTGTTCAAATTTTTTGTTTGTTTTTTAATTTAAATTTTCAGTTGTGAGCTGTGCGAAAAGGAATTACCGGCGGTGTGTTGTGTTTGCCAAGAGCCAGGAAAACAAACTTGTGCGTTATTTTAAACCTCCAAATTGTCAAGTGAAGCGACAACGGTTGGCAAATTGCTGCGATGTTTCATTAGGAGACTTAATTTGTTGCCCATCGCAGACGAGTATTTCTAAGCGGACACGTTTGTTCCCAGGTGCAGGATTTATCGTACCTAATATGAAAAGAAAATCGCCCACTCATATTCATAGATAGACCAAATTTCAAATTGTGGTCTGATAAAACCTAAATCAGAATTTCTTGTTGATATAAAGCAACTGAAAGTAATTTTTAATAAATGTAATGAGAAGGAAATTTCGAATTGCAAAAATTTAATAGCTAAATTATTGAAGTTAAGTTCTGATGTAAATTTAGAAGAATCAAACTTTTTTTTAAGTGTCTAATATACTTTAGAAATAAGTATTTGAATAAAAAAATAAATGCTCAAAAACATTAGGATAGTAAAAGCAAGAAAATTGTCAAAAAGGTTTTATAAATGAGTGTGTTTCATTTAGTGTGTAGTTTTGTGTAAGTATGCATTTCCACATTCACATTAAAAACGAAAATGCAATAATTAAAATGAAGCTGATTCTAATGAGATTTTAAATATGTTCATGGTTACAAAAACTTTCATTTGAAAGATATTGAGTTTTATCAAATATGGTAAATGTATAACAAAGGGTTAATTTCTTTCTCTCGTTCTTTATTTACAGTGGAGTCCCTCATTTATTGGAGAGATGTTAAGAAATCTGGTATTTTCTTTGGTGCTGGACTTGTCACACTGCTCGCTATATCATGCTTCTCCGTCATTAGCGTTTTCGCCTACCTGTCACTACTGACATTAGCTGGCACAGTGTCGTTCAGGATCTATAAATCAGTGATGCAGGCCATACAGAAGACCCCCGAGGGTCATCCCTTCAAGTAAGTAAAATAAGAGAACTATCTTAAGGAAATACATTAGCAAGGAACAGATTTTATACCTTTTTTCTGATAAAGAGATAGAGTATAGTCGATTAAGAATGTCCACGATTTATCTTTGCCTCATTCCATATATCGGGGGCTTATATTCAATACCCTCTATATGCAATTTTCAGAAAAACTAGTTTCTGGTTTGAAATCAATCTGGCACTTAACTGTCATTACTGATGTTAACTCTATCTTTGATATTCAATAGTAAATTCTACCAAAAAGCTATTCATAAGGTTAGCATTAACAGCATCGATGACACTTAATTCTTATGTGGATTTTTATATCAAATATTTATTAAATAAAAACGGTTTGTTTTTGGCGAAATTAAACATTGTGATTAATTTTAATTTATATAGAGAAAACACCTCTGAATCGATTATACAAACTAATAACCATATTCCTCCACATTTGCTTAGATCTAAATGCAGAAATTTGTTTATTATATTATCTATATATATATATATAAAAATGGTGTGAAAAATGTATCGTAATTCATCAATGAGAACGGTTGGGCCGATTTGGCTAAAATTTGTTTTTAGCTGTTCGTAATTTCCAGGAAGGAAAATTTTGGGAAAACCCTCCGGGAAAGTCGGGAGATTGGAAAAATCGAAAATTGACTTTTTTTGTATCACGTAGGTAGCTTATTGGCTGGGTTAACATATAGGGTATTTTTTCTGATAGGTGGACGAGATACCGATCTATTCCAAAAAATCTTATTTATGGTCCGATTTGCTTGAAAATCGATACCCGTATTATAGATATGCGTGGAATAGAATCGAGTCATTGTTTTACAGTTCGAAAGGTGTTTGAAGGTGGCGCAAACATACGGGTATTGGCTATTCAACAATACTTATTACACAGGCCAACAAAAATGATGCAGCAAATGTTAACGCTATTTTTGCCGAATTTTTGTGTGCTGATTACGAATCCGTAATTATAAAGTTCCCAGCAGCTCCAGATTTTATGAAAAACGAGGCCAAAGTGTCAAAAAATCGCGTTTTTTTTCAATATTTGCTTGCACTTCTGACTTCAATCCCTGAAAATACCATTCCTGCACCTTGACCCTAAGGTCACCTATAGTCATTTATTGAATAGCTAACACTGATTTTTACAACATATTTTTTTTTTTCATTGCATACTTTTCCAGTATTTTTTTATTGTTGGACGGTAAAAAGTAAATGAGTATAGGTGACCACCAGGGCAAGGTGCAGAAATAGTGCATTCAGGGATAGTAGTCTTGTTTCATTGCTAGAGCTTCTCAAATATTGCAAAAAACGCGATTTTATGACACTTTCACCACATTTTTCTCAAAATCTGGAGCTGATGGAAACATTATACATACTTACGGATTCTTAATCAACACAAAAAAGCCTATCAAAAACAGCTTTAACATTTGCCGCAACAAAATCGGTGTTGCCCTGTGTTACCTACACTAATTATATAAACAGAAGCTCCTTCTTTTTATAAGAGGTGATCTCCCGAACGGCTGTACCGATTTTTTGAAATTTTGGACACCTACTGCAGACTTTCGATATATTAAGGAAGCGTGGCATCACCCACACATATCGAATTTTTCATACCGTATATCTCTGGAAGTATTTGCGGTAGTGTCCTGGAAATTCGTATAGAGCTTTTGGGACTACTGGAAAAGGGGGCGTGGCGCTTTCCAAACATATTGAAACTTTTACCTATCTGTAAATATATAAACCCAGAAGACGTGTTGTTTTTATTTTTCATAATAAATTTTTTTGTTAATTTTTTATAGAAATATAGTTCATTTGGCATCAAATGGCACCAAATTTTGAGTATGCAGTTTTGTAACTCACTCAATTTCAGTATCATAAAGTGCAAATGGCTGTAAGTTAGTTGATTTTTGAGAATTTTTTTCGCTGATGATATTGCGCATTTTCTCCGTATAACAAATGCGTGGTAGTTTTTTTTTGTATGGGAAAAAATGCCGAAGAGTGTCAGTATGTAAATGACCTTTTCTGGTGATAATTTTTAGTGGCGCTGGAGCCGAGTTATTGCTAAAAATCGTCGATTCGGAGGCACCAGGGATCAAAGTCAAATTACTCCCGTTAAATCAACCATCAGAACCATTGCGGTCCTTGCTTTACGGTGACTAAACAGAATGTGGACCAATGATATTCCCCAGTTAGGAAATTGCCTCCAACTATACTATACAGATTGAAGGACGATTCACTGTAGAGCCGCAAGGACTTCTTCCCGGTATAACGCTTTAGTCGGGTTATTTGAGACTGCAATGGAGGATATGCCTTCTGTCGACCACAAAACCAAACATGAACGTGAATTGCTAGCGAAAACGTTGGACCAAATGTTTCAATAAAAAAATTAATTTTGGGCGGGACGAAGTTCGCTGGGTCTGCTAGTTTATTATATAATGAGAGTTGTTGCTTATAGGTATTTCATATACATACAGAAAGTTTTTTGATATTTTTTTAAAATCATAATGTCTTAAACGTTGTGGAAAGAAAATCAAAAATTACAGTTCACTGATTCACAGCAACAAAGTCATCACCAGATACACAGCAACAACGTCATCATCAGATTCACTTAAATGTTTCCGTTTTGCTGTAAAATTGAAGATGTATGAAAACTAATTGTTATTTTCGTCAAATATTTACTAAATAATTATGAAACCCCTTCATTTATGTGCGCTTTACAACTATACATGTGAAAATGGAAATAAAAATGACTTCTTCCAAATAACCGATGCCAGATCGGAGATTTAATTTATTAGGCATCTTTTTACCAGCTTTTTGCGAAAAGTCACTTTGCCATACTTATTTATTTCTTAACAAGAAGTTAGCAAGATATTGCTCATTTCGGTTAAATAAATCATTTATTTCAAAAAAATTTTAATTTATCATTTTTATAAATTTCTGAAAACCGATATAAACCTGTACTTGAAACGATTTCGGTTTCGTTACTTTTCAGGTCAAGATAACGGTTACGGTTTCGGTTTCAGTTTTGAAAAACAACGGTTTTAAACGGTTTCGGTTTCATTCCTTGATGTTAACGCATAAATCACCATTAAGTTAACAATTCGAAGTTTCTCTAAACACAAGTCAAACAAGTTAATAGTACACTGCGTTGCATAATTATAAGACCGCCACATATTAACAAGTTTTGACTAGTTATTTTTAACCGACTTCAAAAAAAGGAGAAGGTTATCAATTCGTCGGAATATTTTTTTTATGTATGTTACCGCATAAGGTGGTCCCATACTAATTTGGTTTAGATCCGATCATTGGATCATGAAAAATTAACGGTACTCCTAAATTTTTATATGAGAATTGAAGTCGGTTGTGATTTTTGCTTAAAAATTACTTGTTAAATTATTTGATGGTAATTGTATTACTTGCAAAAGAAATTGCTTTCGTTCTTCGTATTTCGTCAAAGTTCGATTATAATTTTGTTTCAATGCTATTTCAGCAATATCATTAACATATTTAATACTTGTCTCTAAGGCAAGGTCATTTTTTACAGAATTTAATGCCCTACAAGAAGATGCCTACAAAAAACTTGTATCTATTTTTTATAACATTTTTTAACGGATCAAAAGTTATAACATTTTTAATGAAAACAAATTATTTCACATATTTTTTACATAGAAAATTTCAAATGCCCACTGACCTTTTAAAATGGAAAAACAAATTTTTTCAAATGGGAGAATTTCCTTCTCAGTAAGTAGGCCATTTTAAAGCCACAAATTCGCCAGGTTAGTTATTTTGGATCACCCTAATATGTGCATATCTACAAGAATAACTCGTTTATCGGAATAAGAATAAGTGGCAAATTTCCTAGAAAACATAAAAAAAGTCTGGATCCGCCGGTGGACCTGTGTTATTTTTGATTATGTACTTGGATGTGAAATAACGCATTTTCCAATTTTTTTAAGCATATTTGCGCACCAATGCAACGAACATACTTGTTTTAAGCCATCTTAAAAATACACACAAATATTTCCACTGATGAAACTCATACATATCTGGCAAACAAAGTCACATATGGTAGGCAATAATTTTCGCCTGTGAAGACGCATCATTAGCTAGTCTTTCAGTGTTGCAAAGTACTTACAATTTTAGTGAGTACTTCTTGCAAATAATGCTTTTTTTGTGGTTGAAAGGACTTGATTGCCGGCAGGAACTAATCAACTTCTGTGCCAAAGCCACAGCAAACGGAAAGAAAAAATAGTTGGTTATCAACGATTTGTCTCAAATATCGTTATTGAAACTCGCCACTGAACACTAAATTTGTAAAAATTACCTTTCTTAAGGTGACCAGAATTTTTTAACGTTCCAGGAGGACAAATTCTCCACATTGAAAACATAATTTTTTTTTTTATTTATTTTAACCATATATGTAATACTTCTATAATGGCAGTAAGCTAACTTCTCAATGTGTAAGCATTCCGAAATCAAAGCGAGACAGTCTAGTACCGTTTTTGTCAATGTATTGTGTACGAGAGTGCCGTTTTTGTGTATGTGTTGTGTACATGTTTATTTATAAACGTATGTGTTCCTTTTCTTTCGTACGTGTTTATTGATATATCTGTACTGTAGTGTTTTCGGACGGTAGTAGCTATTAATGCCAATATAGGAGTATTACATATATGATTTTAACACGTATATATTGAACAAGTTAAGAATTCAAAGTTTCTCTAAAACACAAGTCAAACAAGTTAATAGTACACTGCGTAGCATAATTATAAGAGCGCCACATACTAACAAGATCTGCCTATTTATTTTTAACTAACTTCAAAAAAAGGAGAAGGTTTTCAATTCGTCGGAATATTTTTTTTTAATAATATTTTATTTTCGTATGTTACCGCATAACTTTGGACCACGTCAACCGATTTCGAGAATTATTTTTCTACCGGAAAGGTAGTGCCACATGTGTTCCCATACTAATTTGGTTTAGATCCGATC